TTTTTTTCTTCGCGAAATAAACAAGCTGGCAATTAATCGTTGTGGATGCACACAAGGACTTGTCAGTTACGTTACGTACTTAACTAGGACTAGTATAAATGCTTCTCAAGAAAGACAATCTAAACATACGTATCCCTCAAATTAAAAAAAAACAAAATATTTTTGTGGGGGAAATATCTAAGGTATATAGTTCGATAATTCTGATTGTTTATTACACCCACTGTGCATGCAGCATGCCCTAGGTTCAATTAACAATGGTTTCTCCATGAAAAAGAAACCATCAAACAAATCCAAGTAGAAAAAATGGTGGAATGTGTGGTTCATGAGCGACAAATCGCCCTGGAAGTCCAAGCATTCGTGTGTGTGCGTCTGTGCCATTACATGACTAATTCTCCACATTTAATTTTTGGGTTGAAGCATTAAATTAGGGTTTGGTTTTGGTTGTAAATCACGAGACGAATCTTTTGAGCCTAGTTAGTTTATGATCGGACAAAGTTTGTCAAATACAAATAAAACGTGCTGCAATGTCCAAATTATAAAAATTTACAATCTAAACAAGGCCTTACATGACAAAGAATGAAAGATCGATAGCAACCACGCGCGAAGTCTCCTTCATTCGCAAATGAGGCAACAGCAATAGATGCCACGGTGGATAGCGACCTAATCGCCAATCGGGGAAGAGTAACCACGGAAGAGATCGTACCGTGCCTCGCGAGAGGTTGCGTGAAAGTTAAACAGCAAATACACGTACGTAGGTGCATGCGTAGTTTCCATGCATATTGAGGGCGAGGCCGCGAGAAGTTTTTTATTTCTCTGATATAAGCCAAATATATATTTTTTTTGTTTCTCACAAACAATAGCTACAAAGTTGATGCACGCTGTGTCGTCATTGGTCTTTTGTTATTTTGCTTAGCAAGCCACGGTTTTGCGGGTAGTAAAGTGACAAAAACCAATAGCTAAGACTGTCTTCAACAATGAGAACCTAAACACAACATCCATTCTCTGGTTTGAGTCACGCACAGAAAAAGGGTCCGCACCTAAAACTTAGCTTCTCCAACAGCCAACGCAAATCACTCCCCCGTCCTACAGTACACCGATAAAAAAATCTCCTCCTCTCTCTCTCTCTCCCCTCGTCGCTTCTCTTCCCTTCCCTCCCTCTTTCTCCCGATCTCCGAAGCGGACAGGCGGCGGCTGTGGCAGACTCGGCAGTGCCAGGACCAGAGCTGGCGGCGGGACGCCCCTCATGGGTGGCACGCCGGTGGCCCCTCCTCTCCCTTCTTCCTTCCTCTCTCTCTCTCTCGCTCTCGACCCTCCTCTCTCTCTCTCTCTCTCTCTCGCTAGATCCGGACGAGGGCCTGGCCTCTCGGTGAGGCCAAGACCCGCACCAAAGTGCCACACCTCTCGAGCTCTTTCTCTTCTTTCCCTCCTGCGAAAGCAGTTTGTCTTTGACGGGGCGGAGAATTGGGTCGAGGAGAGAGACAAAGGCATTTTTTGGTTCCCACTCGACTCCGACACAAATTGGGTCTTTGGTTTGGGTACTCCGTTGGACCATCGTTTTTTCACCTCAAGCAACATGGACGACGTATATTTGGGTTCCCCTTGCCCTCTCTCTCTCTCTTCCTCGCTCCTCGCCCCGAACGCCGCCGATCCCCCATTGCTGGCGTGGTGACTACCGACACGTCGGTGGTGGCTTGCCCTGGCGAGATGACAACGCCGGCCAAGGGTTTCGCGTCTCCATCGCTCCGTTGTCCTCGGATCGATCGGGGCCCGACGTGGGTGATGTCGCGCCTGCCACCCGTGGACGCCCTCGTCGAAGGCGCCCACCTCACCGGTGGCCCGCTCGTTCGGTCCGCCACCGCCGCGACGTCAAGCGGCCAGATCCGCACGGGGGGGAGTGGCGGCGGGCACCGGAGGGCTCGGCCGGGGACTCCGCGAGGCTGGAGACGGAGGAGGAAGGGAGTGGTTCCGCGGTGGTAGATCCGCCGGTCCTGTCGTCGGAGATGGACTCCTCCGTCGAGAAGGTGAGCTCCGATCCACGGTCTCCCCGCTCAATCTTTGTCCGGATGCGGGATTGGTGCGGGTGTTTATTAATCGCGCTGTCTGTTTCATTCTTCTGCCAACGCAGCAGGGGAGCGGGGCGCTAGATCCGGACGAGGGCCCGCCGGCCTCCGGCGAGGCCAAGACCTGCACCGAGTGCCACACCTCCGAGCTCGAGCACTTTCCTCTTCTTTCCCCTCCTGCGAAACGGTTGTGCTGGCGGGGCAGAGAATTGGGTCGAGGAGAGAGACAAAGGCATTTTTTGGTTCCCACTCGACTCCGACACAAATTGGGTCTTTGGTTTGGGTACTCTGTTGGACCATTGTTTTTTCACCTCAAGCAACATGGACGATGTATATTTGGGTTTGGGTGCCGTGATGGCTAGGCTGTTGGAGACAATCTAAAAGCTTTGTCTGCATCCACAACGGGATACTCTTACGTACCAAGTCACACCATCACTGTGACGGAACAAACCTTCAACCTGTTCGCTGGTTGATTTCTGGTGCCGGTTTATTATGAGAGAAAAATACTATATCATAGCTGATAAACCTGGCTAAACCAATCAGCAACAGGCTGCTTATGGGCAACTGCGCAGGCAAGCGTGCATCGCACAAGCACATGCAGGCCGTCCCGACTCCCGCCGTCGTTGCTCGAATTCACGCGCATGAGTGCATGACACGGCACGGCACGGTCGGCGAAGCCTTGCGTCCTGGTTCTGTGGACCTGACGAGACTTTTGGCGCAGGTAGATTTTTCCACGCGCACGACACACCGCACGGCCCAGGATTTGTCACGGCTTCGGCCCTCTTTGCACTGGCCCGTATACAAAACTGAGTTAGCGTGGGCTCTCTGTTGAGATCCAGAGCCCAGTTTACATCAAAACGCCTCATCTCTTGCGTTAGCCGTTAGCTCATAGCCTCGTACTTCTTGTTCTCGACTAATTAAGCAAAAAGCATACTCCACACGTTAGCCACATAAATTGCTGACGATTTGTAACAAAGTTTAACTATATATGTAGTTACTTATACAAAGGGATAAACAATTATGAATTAATGTTAGTAGATGACGTGGCAGGTTGATGTGAACAATTAAATTTATGTTAGTGGATGACGTGTCTTTTGCTGATGTGTAGATCATAATTGCAAACGCTAATTGGCTATAAATGCATATGATAGTGGACTGCTGAGGTGGATAGCTTGTATATTGAGATTCAACTTTAGTGGAGTTTAGGATTATAAGATAGATATAGATTCTAATTGACAGTAGTAGGTGCATCGAGAAGGCGGCAGGCATGGATAGCATTGTATATTGAGATTCAACTTTAGTGGGGTTTAGGATTATAAGATAGATATAGATTCTAATTGACAGTAGTAGGTGAAGAGAGCGGCAGGCATCTATCTGCATTGCAAATATGCATCTTTTATACAGACTATTTTAGGAGAACATAATGGCTGTAATTTTGAGCGCTGCTGTAGCACGACGATAAAATAAAGTCTTTTCGGTTAGTGAGCAGAAAACAAGTAGCCACAGAAGGAACCATGTATTGTTCCTCGCTAGAATTTCGTGAAAAAAAGTTAAGCGATAAGAGCACGTTTGGTTGCCAAGTCATGAATTTTGAGTTTGCCAAGTCATTAATTTTGATGCATATTGTGGGCGCAACTTGATAGAACAATAATATATTCTTTCTTCTATAACAATAGAAAGTTGATGCTGCTGTCGTTGGTCTTTTGTTGTTTTGTTTGAAAACCAGACCCATAAAACCAGAGTAGCCGTGGTTTTGCGGGGTTTGGCAATGCAACTGACAAAATTGTGGGCGCAACTTGATAGAACAATAATATATTCTTTCTTCTATAACAATAGAAAGTTGATGCTGCTGTCGTTGGTCTTTTGTTGTTTTGTTTGACACACACCTGACTCATGCACAAAGCCAGAGCCAGCCGTGGTTTTGCGGGGCAATGGCAAGGCAAACTGACAAAAACAAAACCAGTAGCCAGAAGCTTTGCCTCCGTTCTTTAGCACTACATCAGCAGCAGTGCTTTTCAACAAAAGAACAGTATTTTGCTTTCACAAGAAATCATCAGCAGCAGCCGCATTGGTCAAGTTTCAGCGAAACAAACAGGGCTTTGTTTGCATCCACATCGGCGTACACATCATCGCCGTGACTGGCAAGCCAGCGTGCAGCGCACATGCATGCCGTGCCGTCGGCCCCGCCCGTCGCGGCTCGAACTGACGCACACGAGTACACGACACGACACGGCACGGGCACGCCAGCGAAATCATCCTGACGCCCTGGACCTGACGAATATTGGAAACCTTTTGCAACCGCGCACGACGCGGCGCGGCCCAGAATTTCTCACGGCTTCGGCCCTTTTTTCATGGGCCCGTATACAAACTTGAGTTGGCTTGTGCAAGCCTGGCCTCTTCAGCTGGATGCAAAGCCCAGTTTAGATCGAAACGCTGTAGCCCATACCATACTTCTCGATTAAGCAGTGGAAAAACTGCTGCGAAATGCTAATTTAGGAGCCAGTGGTAGGTGAAGAAAGCGGCAACCAGCAGTGACTTTGACTAAATACACGTACTTGAGCACGGCCCCATAATCAGTCAGAGGCATATGCCAAAAGACACAGCTTCATTACGCTAGTCGCTGTTTAATCACGACCAGGCCCCCAACAACCTTGCATCAAACAACTCAAGCAAGCGTACAGCCTGTTCGCAGCCAGGACTTATCATGCAGCCAATCGTGTTTTCTTCCCACAACAAACCAGTACCAGCTGGACTTATCAGCCCAGAGATCGACCAACGAACATGCTCATAGACTAAACTGCCCCAAATGCAACAACTACAGGGAGCAGCTACAGCCTACAGGTGCTGCTAAGAACCACAGTTATATGCTGCAAAGCCACTCATTATCGCCAACACTACTTGGTCTTGGTCTCTCCTGCCGTCCTTCACCCCTGCCCAATCATGGGAGCCACCTCCCTTTCATCCAGCTCGGCAGCAGCAGCCATCCTCCACCTCGTCCTCTTCCTTGCAGCAGCTCGACGGCACGGCGCGACGGACTACACCGTCGGCGACTCCGCCGGGTGGAGCATCGGCCCCAACTACCTCACCTGGTCGCAGAAGTACAACTTCACCGCCGGCGACACCCTCGGTACGTACGTTACGCGCGCCACGACACCGCCACACACACACTACATTTTTGCCGAAAGGTCGTTAATTCTATTAGCTGCTGTTTGATCTTGGCCTGATCGCGATACACAAACAATCTGTCGATGCGCCCCGCAGTGTTCGACTACGTGAAGGAGCAGCACAACGTGTACCGGGTGACGAAGGACGAGTTCCGGACGTGCGAACCGGCGAACCACACGCTTGGCGTGTGGGCGACGGGCCACGACCTCGTCAACCTCACCGTGCCGGGGGACTACTACTTCCTCTGCAACGTCACCGGCCACTGCCTCGGGGGCATGAAGTTCTCCATCACGGTGGCCGCGCCGGCCCCTCCTCCACCGCCGTCGCCGCCCCCGCCGGCCCTGCCGTCGTCGCCGCCGCCGCCGAGCTCGGGCGGCGCGCCGTGGATTGCACGGCGGCCCGCGTGGCCGGAGGTGGCGCGGATCCCGTTCCTCGCGGCGATCGGCCTGCTGCTGATTCTCGCTTGATTGTCGATTGGTAGGTGGTTGTACCAATATTTTTTTGTGATGGTTGACCTGGACCGTTTCTTGGGATTGGTTGGGATGTATGTATTATGTCTACGGTTGATTGATATTGTTGACTTTGTACTCGAAATGTAACAATGCATTTCTCTCTGCGTCTTGTTATCTGTATGTGTGTTAGTATTCATTCACTGGCATCATCTGATCAGAGTATTTCGTCAAGAATTTCGTGTATTCCTCAGAAACAAAGATCATAGCGTGTACAACAAAATATGCCCATCAATTTTTTTCCGTCGCCTACTAAACTGCAAAAAGTAGCTGTAGGTATCGGCCCAGCGAACACTGGGATTTGGGAGGTAGACTACACTCTTCCTCACACATCTAGCAGCAAAGAATATTTTTTTTCTTCTTCTTGGACTTGGGCTTCCCAACAGGGTATGAACCCCTATGCTTCCTTGTCTGAGATCCAGATTTTCTTCCTGGTCTGAGATCCAGATTTTCGCCTTGCTCACTGGTTTCCTAGTGACAGATCTTCAGGCTGTTCGCTTGGTTGTGGCTTATCGTAAATGATCGTTAATTTTCAGTCGGAATAGTATTTTTCTCTCACACAAACCACCAGCCAGTAGCTTCTTCATAAACCAGCAACGATACGAACCAGCCAACCGAACTGACTGCTTGTGTTTGGCCCAAGTTATCTCGTACAGTGCACTCCACTAAGAGCCTCTTTGGCAGGGCTCCTGCAGGGGCTTCAGCTTCGGCTCCTGCAGGAGCTGTGCCAAACGGCTGTTTTGAAAAGGGTTCCGCATGGGGAGCCGGAGCCATTTTTTTGCTATGGGTTCACGTTGTCTAGTGCGAAAGAGCCGTTTTGCCAAACGTTTTCCAAAACGGCTTCACCTCCTCCAGAGGAGCTGCTCCTTCAGAGAAGCCAGAGCCAGAGCTATTTTCAGATAAGCCAGAGCCCTACCAAACAGGCCCCAAGCTGCCCAACTTGTCACCAAGTCAAGCAAGGCTTCACTAGGCGATCCGCTGGGTGTCACTAAGTCACCACCGGAACATACGGTGAAAATAGTGGGCTGGCCACTTTGCCACAGGTAAAGACGGCCCCTCATCGGATGATGCGCTGGGTGCCACACAGGCACACTGGATTATACGATAACCGCTCAGTTATTAGGACCAAGCCATTACTATCCTGGCCATAGTGCCATCGAATGATCCACCAGGCATATATCACGACCTATCGTTCGGTGCACATTCCGGTGCATTTTTCAAGACCATTTTAAGCCCAGTTTCGACAAATTCAACTTATTTAAGATCCTTGACTTAAAATATATCCAATGGGACCATTTATGCTCCAATCTTGAACGAGAGTAAACTTTATTTAAATGCTCTCTCTTGAAATCTCTCAAGATGCATACCTTGGATCCCTTTAACAGTACAACCAAAGAAAAAACAAAGCTCTAATACACTCTATAGCTAATGTTTCCTAGCACTAAGCTTATATTCAGCCTATAGAGTTTTTAGTGTTCATGAATATCCTTTGCGCCATACGTCATCACACATCTTTAGTACCAAGATACCGTCGCCATGTTCGTTTGGGCTTGTTTGGCTAATATGTCATGACTGAAAGTACTGTTGGCTAATTTGGTGTAAGAGAAAAATACTGTTCGTTGGCTGAAAAAGTACGGCTTATAAGTCAAACAAGCCCAAACAAACATTGCACGTGACTATTCTTGTGACTAACTAATATGATTGCCCTCCTCAAAACACAGGTTAGTTAGTCCACGGACAATTGTTTTCATCACTCACCATAACGCCAAATCACCAACTTAGGGTCTAGATGTGCTCACATGTAAGTCTTTCCTCTGACCCTTAGCATATGATTAAGTTGAAGTTTCGTTTTGCGGTTTCCAAGAGTTTCATATCATATATAAATAGGTTTCCAACTAATTACAGTATTAATAATTAGAGAAAGTATTCCAGACGTGTATTATTTAGTTAATTAAGCACCACAGCAGTCTGCTACTACTACTACTATGCATATACGTACTGTATTGGTAACAACATGTGTAGCGTATATTGAAGGAGACGACAAGAATTGAGAATCAATTGGAGGAACTACACGCGGAGGCCGCCAGTCTTGTTCAGGCAAACCAACAGCTCTCACACCGTGGCGCTGGTGCTCCTGAAGGAGCCGAGCGCCTTGGCGGCCTGCCCGCGCAGCACGAGCTTGTGGTACAACGCCGCCACCGTCGCCCCGATCAGCGGCCCAACCCAGAAGATCCACTGCACCCGTACACATATGCCATGTCAATTCCGAATCTTCGACGACTGGTAGCTCACGAATAAATAACACAGTAATTAATTAAGAGTGTGGTTATAGAGATCTCAATCACATGGTCTTTCCATGCTGCGTGCACGACGGCGGCGCCGAGGCTCCTGGCCGGGTTGATGCCCGTGCCGGTGATGGGAATGGTCGCCAGGTGAACCACGAACACCGCGAACCCAATCGGCAGCGGCACGAGCACCTGCACGCACGCACGACCGCGGATTAGTACATTGCACTTGTAGCAGGAGCAGGCGCGGAGGTCCAGGAGCCGAGGCGCTCGCCGTACGGGGATGAAGGAGTCGCGCGCCGTGCGCTTGGGGTCGGTCGCGGAGAAGACGGTGTACACGAGGATGAACGTGCCGACGATCTCGGCGGCGAGGGCGCCCCCGAGGGAGAAGCCGTCGGACACCGAGTTGGCGCCGCCGCCGAGGGTGTTGTAGGGCTGCTTCATGATCCCCTTCACGATGCCCGCGCCGCAGATGGCGCCCAGGCACTGCGCCACGATGTACAGAATGGTGCGCACCAGCGACAGCTTCCGCCCCACGAACAGCCCGAACGTCACGGCCGGGTTGATGTGCCCACCTGCATGTATGACACACATATGGTTGCCGCTCATCAATCAATTCGTCGTCGTCTTCGTTTCATCTGTACATCACGTGTATGTATGCATGCATACCTGAGATGCCGCCGGTGCAGTAGACGAGGATGAAGATGGTGGCGCCGAAGGACCAGGCGACGCCGAGGGCGCCGACACCCTTGCACGCTTCGGCGTTCTTGTACCCGATGACTGTCGCGATGCTCACGTAGAGGAAGATGAGGGTGGCTATGAACTCGGCGATGAGCGCGCGGTACAGGGACCACTTCTTCAGCTCGCTCGTGTCCAGCAGCGGGGCCGGCGGCGGATCCCAGTACGGCGCCTTCGACGCGGCCTCCGCCTCCGCCGCCTCGATGGCCACGTCCTGCTTCGACATGGTTTTATTTGCTAGTTTTATCTCTTAGCTTACTACTACCTAGCTAGAGAATTTCAGTTCAGTGTCACACAGTACAGTACCAATGCTGCTGCTAGCCCCTACTGATAGGGTGCTTGGACGCGCGGCAGGAGCCGTGGTTTAAATAGGGAAGCGAAGCAGTCTGAAGTCTCAACTCTGAAGAGGGTGGAGGAAGATATTTCAAAGAGAAGAGATTCCTTCCTTCTGATTCACCGTTTGCCATGAATTTACCTTTTCCGTACTTTGCTACAATTTCAAAGAGACGATGAAAATTCGCATCCAAGTTGATTGATGTATGTTGACGTGTCCCTGAAAATTACACGATTGTGCTTACGTGCGCGTGTTCCTATCCGTTTGGTTCAGTGTGCAGAGCACGTTGAGCTTGTGGTGTCCTAGCGGGCCAGCACCCAGCAGTTGCAATCCAACAAGTTTCTACCCTGGCTAAAATCTTACGAGATATAAGTTTTTTTGCGACATTTTTTTTAAAAGTTAAACGGGGACAAAGAGTCCCCACCTAAAATTCATTGCCACATGTGCCGAGGGGAATCCCGGGGGGTGGCCAGAGTTTGAAACCCAGAGTTTGAGGCTTTGAAGCCAGAGTTCCATTATAGTAGCAATGAGAGAGAGGCAGATTATACAGGGAGGTGGATCTACGGCCTGTTCACTTGATCGTTTCTGTGGCTTATAAGTCACTGATGTTGTTTTGTTGTGGCTGATACGATCAAGCGAACAGGTGCTAGGTACTCAACATAGCCACAACTGGACAGAGGCCTTGCAGGCTACGATCAGGCAGTTGATGTTGGGACTCATATGTCTGAAGACCACATTATGCCGATGCTTCCAAAATTCCCAGCAGAGGAAGAGGATGAGACTCGGCTGCGTGTTTGGGGGCGGTGCCTGGTGGGGGCGTGGGGCTCTAGAAGTCCAGAGGGTCTCCACCTTTAGCAACTTGGCTGCTCTCCCACCTAATCTTTTCCTAGAAACTTTTGGTGAAGGGGCACCCGGAGATGATATGGTCTGTGTCCTCACTGTCGTGTATGTGAGTGTGCGTTGGTATATGTGAGTGCCTACATTTGTAGCTGGGTCTCGAAAAAAAAAACTTTTAGTATGTAAGGTGAATCAAAATTGCTTATCTTTGTACTATTTCTCTATTCATATTCTAATACAATACTCATATATAAAGATGATACCTAATTTCTTTTTCGATTGTGAATGGTTTACCGATTAATTTATATGTTTTTCCATATATATAGTTTCTCCCTTAGCATCTTATTTGCTCAATATGTTGTTAAGTGACACCTTACCTCAAGTTATATTAGCTCTTAAGGAGCCCATGTGTCGGCCGGACCCGTGAATCTAGATTTTAAATTTTAAGCTTTAATTTGATCTTAATAGTTCCTGCAATTTTTAAACTATTTAAAGTTAAAAATCTAATGTGTATTGGACCTTTATTCAAAACCCTCTTTTTATATTTTATTTAATAATGGACTCCAGGTCTTAGATTACACTCTTAGTTACTATAAATAGTGCAAATAGTCATTTTGGTGCTCTAGAGTCTAGATGTTGAATTTCTTCTATCAAAATGTATTTATCAGAATTTATATTTATCGCTTGTACATGCATGTATACTGGTTACATGGTGACACATAAGACCCATCATGCATGTTCAATTTAAGTTAGTTTGTTTATAT